GCCTAAGGCAGACGCTTGACTGACTGAGCCACCCAGGCACCCCTTCCTCCCCAAGTTTAGATCCAACCCCCTTCCCATCTCCTGGGCTTGGCTGATACAACTTTCAGGATTTCCATCTGAGCCAAAATAATACTTTCTGGAATCTAACTTTATGTGTATATATGAAAATAATTGATTGATAAAACCATGTTCTATTTTATCAATAGCGCCTTCCCTGACCCAGCAGGGTCAAGAGAAAGAAGAGGAACCATCTTTCATTTTCCTATGAAACATTTTAGCGTCCTTTAGGGAACAGGAAGAACATTTCTCTCCCACAAACTCTTCAGCCAATCCCTGCAAGGCCTGTTTTCTGATATCTGTGACTTTACTTTCTGTATAACTCCTGGCAGACATTCCCATTGATGATCTTTCTCTTCCTTTAATATTCCCAAACTGGATTATCCCCTTGGAGGGGGGCTAAGCTGATGTTTACTATGTTACATCAGACATTTTCAGTGATGTCCTGTCTCCTTTGTGACCTGCTCTCAATGATTATGATTGTCAATCACTACAGTAGAAAATCTCCTTAAGACAAGTGACCACTCAGAAAATCAACCCTTGGGATAACCAAACACTCATGCTTTGGGCAACAACTCACTTTCACAGTGGTTTTCAAATTGGCTTCCTTTCTCAGGTCCCTATGATGCCTCAGGAACCACCTCTGAGGTGCCAAGTGATGATAACTCTGGGGTCCCCACTTCATTCAGACAGACCAACTCCATTGCTTCCTAGCTCCAGTGTTATCAGTTGTTATTCTGGAGTTCTATGTAATATTTCATTTGGAAAAAAAAAGTCTCACTGCTTTCAAACTTTTAATGAAAAAGATAGAAAACCATCACCTCACTGAACCTCTCTAGATCTGCCCATATTGTCAGACTCCTCCTTTCAAAAGATTTTTGTCCACTTTCCTCAGCTCATTCGCCAGCTTTACAGAAATATGGGCATGTGCCAGAGTTTAGACAGGTGTCAATTATGTGTTAGGTGTGGGGGAACTGAAGATAAAATGCACAATCCTTGTTTTAGTCTGGGTTCTGCCTGTAAAAGCAGAGCTGGAGAGAAAGACTTTCATTTGGGACTGTGAGCCCAAGGAGCAGGATAGCAGGAGAAGATTTGTGAAAAAGGATGGGAAGAAGCCAACAGGAGGATGCATCAGCACATTGGCCATCCACTCCCAATGCTCCAGCCGGAATCCAAAGTACAGGGAGTTAATGCTCCTCCCCACTCCCAGCAGGCCTTAAGTAAAGATGGCAGCAGTTGATGCATAAATATACTCCAGCACCCTCACCCATGAGGTGGAGGTGAGCCACGGGGGTCTCTCTTCCTCACTGACTCCCAGTTTTGCAGCAGGATTAAGCTCTAGTTGCCCACAGGAGGAAGTGCTTTGGTGATGCACCCTTAGTCTCCTGCCCTCCCCTGTCTCACTTCCCTACTCCCCTACCAATGTTTTCTGCAAATCTCTTCTCAAGTATAGACTACTTGCACTTGAATCCTTGTCTCAGGGTTTGTTTGTAAGGGAACCCAATCCAAGATACAGATATTTAGTAGAATGTCAGAAACCTGGGTTTGGAATATGAGAGAGAGAAATGGGGCAAGAAACAGAGATTCAAAACCAAAGAGCACTTTTGTTTTCATACCACACAGTATTTAACATAGTTCTCCAAGTACTGTGGATAATTCTTGGATAAACTGATGCATGACTTCAGATACCACATGGCTAAATTAGTACTAATCCCCACTTCCAGTAGCATGATTGGTCCCCGAATAGCCCACTGCCTTCTCAGAGTTTTACTAATCTCTCACTAATGGCAACCAGTGGGACATCTGGGATACCTTCCTTGTTGGTGGGGACTCTTGGTTTCTTAGGTGTTTCCACCTTTAGTTGAGAATTTCTTTATTTCCAGCTTGGTTCTCCTTTCGAGCCAACCCCCATACTTACAGCACTTGGAGAATGTCTCCATGGAAAAGAGGTGATTCTCAGGGGAAGAAACAAAGCTGTGGAGTCAATCAGTGCTCTGCAGAATACTCTGATCCTGTGCAAACATCAGAGGGTTCAAATGACATTTTAAAAATCAGATATTTTTTAAATGTTTTTTTAAAATTGTGATGATAGAACAGCATGGGTATTTAGATGTATTTATCAAACATCAACCCATTGAGGACCACCGAAGCACCACTTGGCTTTCTGTGCATTTGAAAGGAAGGTTCTGCTCTTGGAAATACAGTGCATGGTCGCTAAATATTTGTCGAAAGGACCTTCTAGGTGTGCATCTAAATTTCATATAATGTATCATTGACTGGGAAAATTTTAGTTAGCCCTGAAGTGTGTGTGTGTGTGTGTGTGTGTGTGTGTGTGTGTGTGTATGATGGAGCCTCAGACATAACTGCTCCTCTCTTGTCCTAGGGCAATAACAAGTGAATAGCGTAAAGAAAGAAGAATATTGGAAAGCCTGCTGATCTTTTCTAACTCAAGCTTATGGTAGGGTTGCTGAGATTGAGAGTTTTTAGTTTGATGACAAGAACTCAAAACTTGGGGTTTTCTTAGGGAGCTTTTCATTAATTAAGCAGATAACGAGCAAATGGTAGGTGAAAAAGGATTACTTTTACGTAAGGTACAACTGAAATCTGTCAGGCCTGGCGGATTCTTTCTTTAAACCATGTTGTTTGTGGCCCATGTAATAGGTCACAATCATAGTGCTCCTGCCCCAGCATGAGCTGCCTTTGTGCTACTGAAAGATGAATTTCAGAAAGCGCAAGAACAACCGGATTGCTGACTCATTATATATTGAGCAGCTTGTATATTCAGATCACAGTATGTGGGTGTGGGTGCTGTGTACGGACAAAAGCAAAATCCCAATGCACTGGAATCAGCATCTCCCTTTAACATCCTGTTTACAGCTAAACATGCACAGGCCCACACTGCCTACCAGCCAGGAGGACTAACCACATTTGTGCTGCCCTGTGTTGCCTTGCATTTAGGCTTTTTAAAAGGGTAGCCTGGAGTAGTTCTGAATAATGAAGGTTGTTTTTTTCCTCCCTTGACATACCGGAGGGTTTTCCTGTAGCCTTGAATATCAGCTTTTGAATCCCTGAAAGCCCTCACCACAGAATGCAGCTTTTTTTTTTTTTTTTTCCAAAGAGTAGGGTATCAGGAAATTCTTTTTCTGAGATGAATAACACAGTTTTAAAGTGATTGCAGAGTTCCTGAAGTTAGTAGGACTTTGGAGAATACAGGACAACTTGAACTTAAGGTGCTTAAGACCCTTGTAAAAGTTTTACGGTTCTTTCATGCTTTTGCTTTTGTGTTTCAAAAATGCAGAAAGACCTTGAGGGAGAGAGAAGGAAGCAAAATGTTATCAGAAGGGAGAAAAAAGTCTTGTGAGTGCTACCTGGAGGGGAGAATGTGAAACTGGATCTTAATTTCCTTTTTGTTTTTTAGAAGAATGTCACTGCCTGTGAAATATGAGGCCTGTGAAGGACAAAATGTTCCAAAGTCACTCCTATAACAGCCCCCAAATTCCACATATGGGTTTTTGGGTCCCCCCCCCATGTGACTAACTGGACAAATGGTAACTGACTGTAAAGGCTCTGGAGTCCTCTTTTCTCTATTCACACATCTCATTCTTACAGTTCCCCATCACCTCTCATTTATTATTCACTCAATAAATATTTTTGTAATACCTACTATGTGCCAGGAACAGCATCATGTTGTGAAGATACAGAGCTAGAGATGATGGTGAGCAAAACACATCTTCCTTGCTCTCTTGGAGTTTACCATCTAGTGTGCACAGATAGTATAATCACAATGCCAAAGAGAATAAGAGAGGCCATGAGAGCACAGGAAGGCCTGTCTGCCCTGGGGCTCAGGAAACAGGCCCAAATAAGGCAATAAAGATTGAGCTGAAAACTGTAAAAGCCTGTAGGGTAGGAAGGGAAGTGGATGCTCTTGGCACGGAAAGGCCAGGATTGAAAGCTGGAGGTAGGGTGGGAAGACTTCAGCAGGAGAATGCTCCAGATGTATGTCTGAGCAGTTCAGAGAGCTGCCTTTTTTGGCCTCTTCTGGATATGGGTCTTTATGTTACAGAAAATGGACAGCTGTTAAGGGGTTTGAAAGAGAGATGTGACAAGATTTGGTGGGTGTTTTTGAAAAACCACTCTGGCTAGAGGGTGGATAAAAGAGGTTGGAAGGCAGCAGGAGGGGTTACGGGAGGCAGGGCACAGTTCAAAGGCTGTGGCTGTAGTCCCCACAAGAGGTGGTGGTGAAATGAAACAGGGTGGTGGTGGAAGAGAGAGAATTGAAGAGTTTCTCGAACTATTTAGGCCAGTGCCTGAGAGCTGGACTGGAGAGTGAGGCACGGAGGATGATGCCAGGTTCCCAGCTGGTGTAAGTGACTGGATATTGGGGCCATTAACCCAGAGGTGGAGCATGAGAGAAAGACCAGGGGTTTTGTGTGTATGTGTGTGCTTGTGTGTGTAAGTAGGTAGGGGAGAGGGAGGTGTGCATGGTGACAGAAGGAAGGAGCAGAAGGTAATCGCCTTGTAGCACCTACACCTCCAATCTTTCCAACCAAACTAGTGAGTCAAATTTTTGACCGGGACCCACAGTAAGACATATGTTTTACATAGCCTCTGGTACCCAGACAGACTACATAGAAATTCACAAAACAGTACTTCCCTGTTTCGTGTTTAACACAGGGCTATTTCCCATATTACTCCTTAAAACAAAAAAACTGCCAGCATGGGCTGGGAGGCGGTGATGGGGGCCATGACGGCGGCCATGACGGCAGTGGCCACCTCTGTGATGTCATCTGCAGTGTCCTTTGTGACGTTGGGACCTGGTGAAGCTCTTAGGACGTTGCGACCAGTGCCCACAACAGACCGAGCTGCTGCTTCAGCCTGGAGGGTAGGCAGGAGGCTGCGGAGGCCCAACCCTCCCGCGGCGGCCCTTGTCTCCCCAGGGAGGCATGGCGACCTCCACCACCTCACACAGGCCCATCAAGGGGATACTGAAGAATAAGAGCTCCACTGCTTCCTCGGTGACTGCCTCTGCCCAGCAGTCGGGAGGGACAATACCAGAGGTAAAGAGAAAAAAGTCCCAGAAATGGGACGAATCCAACATCCTGGCCACACACCGTCCATCCTACAGAGACTACAATTTAATGAAGATCAACGAGCCCAGCAGCCCCTACTTCAGCCCACAGGATGATGGAGAAGAGCCAGTGAGTGATTTGGAAGCAAAGGAAGCCATGACCCCAGACATCTTAGCCAAGAAATTAGCCGCCTGTGGTACTTTGGAGTTGAACTGCCAGTTGGGAGAGCCGGAGAGTGACGGGGCGCACAGCCGCAAGATCCTTCTCGACAAGCAAGAAAAGCAGCGGCAGTTCGAAATGAAAAGGAAACTACACTCTAACGAAGGCCTGAACCTCAAGCTGGCTAGAGAACTGATCTCCAAAGACTTCGAACACGAGAAAGACAAGGATGACAACGAAGAAACTCTACATGATGACAACAACGAAGACAACACTGCTGCGGAAGAATCGGATGAAGGTCCTACAAGTGACGAACTGCAAACCCAGTCATTTTCTGCCTAGACAACATCTGCTCTGCCCGGCCATTGCGTGCCATACGAACTGCTACGAACTGTTACGAACTGCCGCGAACTGCTACGAACTGTTACGAACTGTTACGAACTGCCACAAACTGCTACGAACTGTTACGAACTGCCGCGAACTGCTACGAACTGTTACGAACTGTTACGAACTGCCACAAACTGCTACGAACTGTTACGAACTGCCACGAACTGCTATTCCAACACGCTGCTGCTTGCTTGTCGAGGCCCGGCTTCCAGTACTGAAAATACCCATCAGTTAAACTGTACCTCCATAATTCAATGGTGAACTTAGAAAATAATACACTAACGGCAAAACGGTTGCTTAGTATTTTTGTGCGTGGTTCTTTGTGGCAAATACTGATAGCAATTTAAAACCACTTGGCTTTTAAAAAACTACTGGTTGCTGTACATATTATACAGCTTTTTAGATGTTAAAGGGGATTAATTTACATTCATTTGTAGATGTACTGGCTTTTTTTTTTATCGACTGGCTTTTATAAAAAGGTTTTGTTACAAAATCAAAATGTAGTCAGTACAGTTAGGTTACATAGTCTGATGAATATTCAGGCTGAAAAGCACTTGTCTTTAGGGTGATTTGCCTGTTTAATTGGGGAGGGGAAGATATGTTAAGAGTAATGAGCTTAGGATCTTTACATTTTCTCTTTTCTTTCAGTGCTTACAAGGAAATGCTACCTTTTTTCTCAACAAAAATAGTTCCTTTTCACGAATCACTGGGTTAAAATTGTGCGTGTCTATTCGGACTGTGTCTTGTACACCAGGTGCGCAGATTAGATATCAATATTTAAAAGAAAATCTAATGTTATCTTAGTACTCCCTTCTCTTAACGGTCTTAGCCTCAACCCTTTGTTTCCTCAATCCTCCCAGCAGATACACACACGACCCTTTATGAGTCATCGATTCTCAAGACATTGGGGACCCTCCCTTCTCTCAAATATTTTGTCATTTGTTGAAACAGTGTTATTTCTACCTTGATCACTATGGCCTATTCAGCCTTCTAAGGTATGGAGAAATAGGAAATAGAATTCAACTGCCAAGTTTTTACACCGTTTTGGTTTATAGCTTGCTAAATAACTTGCTATTATTAGTTTATTGTTTGACCTAGTTAGCTTTGAGAAAACAACTGAGCTTTTCTTTCATGACAGATTCCTTTGCAACCAGTGACATGATTATAGCTTCTGGACAGAAGTAAGCCCAAAGGTTTTTTGTGTATTTCCTTTTTTTTTTTTTTTTAATTTAAAAGTTTACTGAGATAATTGTAGGTTCACATGCAATTGTGAGAAATGATACAGAGGGATCCTGAGTTCTCTTTACCTAGCTTTCCTCAATGGTAACTCTTTTAGGGTTTCCGGACCCAATTCCAATGTGGGAGGAGGGGCTTCCCACACACACAGCAAGCAATTCTCACACTACCTGAAGATAGCATCCAATTCCACAGGTTAAGGGTTCAGTCCTACTCCCACTCCAGCCAGATACCAGTCACTACCCTAGGCCATCACCTTTGCCTCTGACCGACCAGTTACAGATTGTGGGTTCCAAGGACGAAGAACTTTGATTAATTTGCTAGAGCAGCTCACAGAACTCAGGGAAACAGTTACATTTGGCAGTTTATTAAAGGCTATGAATCGATAGCCAGATGAAGAGATACATGGGGGGGGGTCCTGAATAAAGGAGCTTCTGTTATCATGGATCTTGGATCCCAGCTCAGTGGCACGGAAGCATTCTGGTTCCCCAAGCATGAAAGCTCTCCAAAAAAAAAAGGACCAAAAAACCCTGTCCTCTTGGGGTCTTATGGGGGCTTTATGACATAGTCAGGATTGACTAAGTCATTGGCCATTGGCTAATTCAACCTTCAGCCTCTCCCCTCCCCCAAGGTCAGGGGGTGGGGCTGAAAGTTTCAAGCCTATAGTGACACGGTTGGTTCCCCTGACAACCAGCCCTTGCCCTTGGGTGGGGTCCAAAAGTCACTTTCATTAATAGCAGGACACCCATTTCACCTTTATGGCTCTGAAGCGTTTTTCAGGGAACTGTGGATGAAGTGCAAATATATCTGAGAAATATAATTTGGGTCATTTGGATGAGCAAATATATTATTTCTTATAAATCATTACATCCCAGTAACATGTTGCAAAACTATAACACAATACCACAACCCAGATATTGATGTTAATACGATCAAGATACAGAACATTGCCTCACCACAAGGATCCCTCATGTTGCCCTTTTGTAGCCACATCTCTTCTCCATTTCTAGAATTTTCTCATTTCAAGAATGTTCTATCAATGAAATCATACAGTATATAACCTTTTGGGATGTACCACGCTTTGTTTATCCAGTCATCCATTGAAGGGCATCCAGACTGGTTCCAGGTTTTGGTATTACAAAAGGAGCTGCTATGAACATTCGTGCACAGGTTTTTGTGTGAACATAAGTTTTCACTTTTCTGGGATCAATGCCCGGGAGTGCACTTGCCGGCTCGTACGGTGGTTGCAGTTTCTTAAGAAACTGCCAAACTGTTTTCCAGAGCGCCTGTGCCATTTCATTCCCACCAGCATATATGAGCATTCCAGTTTCTCTGCAACCTTACCAACATTTGGTATTGTCACTATTTTTAAGTCATTTTTATAAAAGTGTCCTGATGTCCTCATTTGCGTTTCACGAATGGCTAATGATGTTGCGCATCTTTTCACGTGCTTATTTGCCATCTGCATATCTTCTTCTGTAAAATGTCATTTGCCCAGTTTCTAGTTTGATTATCTGTTTTTACCATTGAGTTTTGAGAGTTCTTTGATTTGCAAATCTTTTCTTATATTCTGTACCTTATTTTATCCGCTTACAGAGACTTCTGCAAAAGTTTTTAGGGTTTTTTTTTAAGATTTTATTTATTTATTTGAGAGAGAGAGAGAACAAGCATGGGGAGCATCAGGCAGAGGGAGAGAGAGAAGCAGACTCCCCGCTGAGCAGAGAGCCCAACGTGGAGTTCGGTCCCAGGACCCTGAGATCATGACCTGAGCTAAAGGCAGACACTTAACCAACTGAACCACCCAGGTGCCCCCAAAGTTTTTAGTTTTGATGTAGTTCGACTTATCAGTTTTTTCTTTTATGTGTGGTGCTTTTGGTACCTAGTCAAATGCAATCTAGAGAGAGATTTTTTTTTCCACACTGTGATTTCCTAATTAAGTGACATAGTACTGGGCTGTATAGAAAGTAGACTTTTCTTTTTTTAAAAATGTTGCTTTTTTCAAAGATTTTATTTTTATTTTAGAGAGAGTGAGAGCGAGAGATATAACAGAGGGAGAAGCAGACTCCCCACCGAGCAGGGAGCCCAGGCAGGCTTGATCCCGGGACCCCGAGATCATGACCTGAGCTGAAAGTAGATGCTTAACCCACTGAGCCACCCAGGTGCCCATAGAAAATGGACTTTTATTATTTAAGTTATTAAGTTTCCTTTGGTGAAAGGAATCTGAGAGTGTTCAGTTCCAGTTTCAACTCTTTATCAGTATCATCTCCTCTAGTAACTCCTCTGATGTCAGCCTTTGTTTACTCATTTTTCAGTCTGAGATTCAGCAGGGCTGGTTATTTAAAACCTGGGACACATAATGGTATAAATGGATTGTTAAATAAGAATAACTTCCTCTTGAAGGTTAAAGCAATTACATGTCCCTCTAGACTTTGAAATTGTTTGCATTTTATCCCTCTACATTAGTGCACTAAATAACATGTAATAAGGCACAATAATATGAAAGAATGGTAGTCAAGAGCCACTAAATTGGCCCCTTTAAATTGCAACCTGTAATTTGAAAAACACTGAACTCAAAGGATCTTAATATTTTCAGGGGCACTTGGGTGGCTCAGTCGAAAAGCGTCTGCCTTCAGCTCAGGTCATGATCCCAGAGCCCCGCATTGGGGGTCCCTGCTCAGCTGGAAGCCTGCTTCTGACTCTCCCACTCCCCCTGCTTGTGTTCCCTCTCTCGCTGTGTCTCTCTCTGCCAAATAAATAAATAAAATCTTTAAAAAAAAAAAAAAGATCTTAATATTTTCAGTTAAAGGATTCTGTTCTTTTTCATGTGCAAATATCCCCTGGGAATAACATCATAGGGACTTATCGGCCTTTCACACCTTAGAATAAACGAAGAATGTGGTATCGAGTATTGATTGGGAAGGGAGTGGGTCAAAATTGGGGGTCATTATAAAAACGGAAGGAGAGAAAGAGGTAGCCAGAGTAAGAAATTGGGAAGGGAGGGGAGAAAAAAAATGTGAAAAAAAAAAGAATGGAGGATTGAGTTCACTAGCTCTAAAAGTTGTGACTGGCTCTCAATGAGTCATTAACCCTCTGAACTGTCATAAAAAGGACACAAAATCTTACTGAAGGAACGATGAGGAAAAGGATAGTTCTCTTTTCCATCCAACCAAATAATTATATCAATACTACAACCAGTACTACAGCTAATAATTGGCATTTCCTGAGTATATGTGATGTGTCCGACACTGTACTAGGGCTTTTATGCCCACAATCCTTTGAAATAGTATTGTTTTTCCCATTTTAGAGGTGAGGAAATTTAAAATAAAAACACTTATGTAACTTGTCCAAATCCACAGCTGCTGAATGATGGAATCCGGATTCAAACCCAGTCCTGTCTGGCTTCCTCAGGCCGAGTCCTCCCCCCCAGCATACAACACTGGCTCTATTCAGGTCCTTGATGGGGACTAAGGCTTCTTCCTGCATGCCCCCTAAGCACACATGTCTACCCTGACTTTGCAGCAGGGGCTGCTTTTCTGTAAAGCTGTAGAGTGGGAGTGGTCTCAGGAAAACGTTCTCCGATCTAGGAGCTGCCCCCTCCCCCACACGCTCACCCCCCTGAGCCCCAGGTGCTTGTGCTGCTCCCTCTCACCCTCTGCTCTGAGTCCGTGCTCAGCGAAGAACCTGAGATATTCACTCAAACAAAGATGAATGGAGCACATGTCTCTTTCAACCAGTGAACAAACATTCACCAAGCATGGCTATGCGTCAGGGGCAGTCTGATGAATGAAACACAGCCTCTGCCCCCAAGGAGGTCTGAGTCAAGTGGGGGAGACCCGTATGGTTCTGAAAGGATCATTTATGAAGTCTTCCAAGAGAGAGGATCCCTGTATTAAAAGAGGGACAGGAGTCCTTGTTTAGGTGATGTTAATGACTTGAAAGCCACTAAGTAGTTTCTAGATGCCTGCAAGGTGAGCACCAGCCTCCAGAAGAGGTACTCTCTTTTGAGTTCCTTCTGTCTGAATGTGAGGACAGAGGGAACCCAACCCTCAGGATCT